ACCAAGCCCCCCCCCCCCCCCCCCTTTCAAATCAGAGTTCCCTCTTTACTTCAGCAGCCCCTTCACATCAGTTTTCATTCCTCCCACTACTACAACATTTTCGAAGCACCCCTGAGGAAGCCAGAAGGTACACCAGAGTGCCTCAGCACCTTGGTTGAGAAAGGCTGCTTAAGGTATTTGCATGACATTTGTCTTGGATGCCAGTTGGAAATGTGCTACTTTGGGGTACAAGATGGATAAGAAGTGATGGTTTTTGGTTAGCACTTCTGCTCCCCAGTTTAAATCCTGGTCAAGAAACCATCTGCGTGGAGTTTGCACATTCTCCTTATGCTTGTATGGGTTTCCTCCCACACTCCAAAGACATGCTGGAAGGTTAATTAACTCTTGTCTAAATTGGCCCTCATATGTATGCATGTGAGATAGGGACTTTAGATTGTAAGCTCCTTGACTGCAGGGGCTGATGTGATTGTGCAGTAAATAAAGTGATGCTTAAAAGAGAAATATGGGGTAAACGTTTTTGCCATGTTTAGTTTCCTAATGATAGAGGGGTACATTTTGCAATGTACTCCTGTAATCAAAAATCCACCATAAGCTTGCAATTAAATATAATATATTGTAGGCGGAGTTAAGCTCTGTGCTGAGAAGCGATGCTGACAGTATTGTTGGGATCCTCCCCACTCTTCTCTCCTCCCATTGAGTGACAGTGCCTAGGAGCACGTAGGAGCTGCTGTGCAATCATGAATACCAGCGTAGGCACAGCAGCTCTGTAGCTCTGTCCCTACCTCCCCTCCACGCTCTCCCTGGCTAAACATCACTTCTTCTCCCTGGCTAAATATTAAACACCATCCCTGAAGCTCCATCGAGCCTCCCCTCTATGCTGCTGTCTCCATCTCTTCTTCTCCCTGGCTCAATATGAATAACACAAAAGAAAATCAGCAGCAACGCTTCAGCAACCAATCTTACCTTATCCAGTTACTGAAGTGCTGCTGCAGATCTCCTTTGTGTTATTCACAATGAGCCAGGGATAAGAAGAGAGAGACAGCAGCATGGAGCATGTTTATGCTGTTTCAATACACTATGAATGAAGAGTGCAGTGATGACACCAACCTTAGGGACTTAGCCATGAAGACCTGCATTGATAGCATGCCTTTAGTCTTCTGGGTTGAATGACTCTGGGCTCCTGCATATGATTCCTACAGTTCATGTTTGTAGGCTTTTTAGGAATAAAGAAATTCAAGACCACTAGGGGTCCATAGACTCCAGTTCCATGGTCACCCAGCTATACACAGATTAATATCAATTTATAGTTGCAAACTGATCATTTGTTTTTTGTTGTTTTTTGTTGTTCTCTGCAAATCATCAGTGCAAAGAATGTTGTCAGATGTGGGAGACAGCAAAATATCTATATATTCTTATCAAGCATTAAACAAACCCTAACTCACCTCTGTAGCTATAGGCATTGTGGATACATTCATCATGTTCTCAGTTTACCAGCAACTTTTTGCTACTACATTATACCAGCTTTTGTGACATGGCTACCCTGCCGAATCTTCACATACTGACAGTACCAAGGATGTGCTGCAGAATGCCATCGTAGTGGATTGCTAATATGCTTTATTCTCAATAGTACATGTGACACAGTACAATGTATATTTGTTTCATCTGGATTCATTATTGAAGAAAAGATTGAGAGTTTAATACTACTTTCATTAGTTGATATTTTTATTTTTGATTCATTTATTCTTCTGGTGGCATTTTAAAAGAGACCAAATCTTTCAAGCCAGTTACACTGCAGGATATCACATCCGCTGGCCTAGGATCTGTATCGTTTTATAGAATGCAATTTCTCTGGTCTATTTGTCTATTTGAGTTTAGCACGGCTCTTTTTCATTGGCAAAGCTGGGGAAGTCACATCGATAATTGCCTTGTCTTAGTCCATGCACAAGTTCCAGTGATTCAGATAAAATTGCTTGGATTTGGACCAAACACTGCACCTTGGACATAGCCAATTTCAGCAATCAGGTGGATTTCCGGAGAGAAAATTTTAAATTGTTCTCTTATCTCTCTTGGTAAATGCTGTTGGCCCTATTCACCAAGATAATGGTTTGTATACACATCAAGCCAAAAGCAACATGCTTCTGGTATTTTCAGGGAGCAATGGCTTTTTAAGAGCAATTTGTGATCGATGTTCACTGAAATGAGCTTGAAACACTTTTGAGAAGATCCTGACTTGCATTCACAAAGCAGTTCAGATACAAATGAATCCTCAGGGCCTGCTGATTTTACCAAAATTAAAGCAAATAGAGCAGCAAAGTGAACACTGCCCCACTGGGGTGTCCCTACACTATTCACCGCCTGAGGGGGAGGGAGAGTGGCAGCTGTGAGTGAATGTTAATTCCGA